GTATAGCTGTCGGTGTGTCTGTGATTTGCTCTTTCTTCGCTCCAGCCTTTGCCTCTCCACCGGAGACCCGGGCCGGACAGGTATTCTGCCGTCCAACCTCTCCTCGGCTCAAAGCCGGGGGAGTACATTTTTACCCAGTTGACATATGCATAGAAAACAATCGGACACAAGCTGATTTTCGACACACGCACACACACACACACACAGATACGGGTATACACATACGTGCTTAGGCGAGAAATAGAAATAATGAGAAAACTGGGTAGTTATCAGGCAATCTGCATCTTCTTGCGATGACATGAAAGGTTATGCGAAACGGGAGAGCAAATTTTTCCTTCGCCAGCATGTACAGTTGCGGCCAGACACACAACCCTGCCTCAACAAGGCAGCTGAATAAATGTATAGGCCTGTATGCTTGGGTTTGCAGTTGAGTATGTATGTATGTATGTGTGTGTGTGTGTGTGTGTGTGTTGTAGCATGCGTTGTAGTGTGTGAAGGGGTGTAAATGTGAACAGGGGTGCCAGTATAGACATGGGCGTGGGGCAGGATGGATGAATTTTGCATATATTCGCAGTCTACGTCTCTAAGCCGCATCAGCCCTGACTGCATTAAAACCAAACCAAAAGGATCCCATGCCAGGCTTGTCATTGTGCGGTAGTCGTAATAAATTTGCAGTTATTGCTCTTTTGCTGGTCAATACGGGTCCAGGTCTCCAGTCCCCACTGTACGCCCCTAATTAATGTCCCGGTCCTGCTCTCGGACATGCCGGCGTCTTTCCTGTTGTAGCCAAACAGACGAACAGTGTGTACGTCTCGTAGGTGCCACCTCACCTGTCGTGTCGGGTCAGTTGGGTGGCCTCTGAGAGATGAGCAAAAGTAGAATTTTTACCCATTCTCCGGTCACCACGGGCCTCCTAGGGCCGAAAGCCGCGGAAAATGCGCACTACTAACAACACTGACAACAGTAGTATCTACCAAAAGGCCTATTTAGCCTTATTAAATGCAGATTACAAAACTCGATTGCTGGCTCATGATAAAGCTTCAGTCAGTCGGAATGATGTCAGGTCGGTAGACTGAGACAGGAAAGAGTCTGTCTTCTGAACGGCTTCATTGGCATCATCTTGACGCAGAGGCTGAGAGGACAACAGTTGCGTCGGTGACAGTATACGAGGTACCGACAGCCGAAACGGTCCGGCCGCATTAGGCCTGGATGTGAAGAGGCTGTTCACACTCCCCAGATTGGCTGGTTCGGAGGGTGGGTGAACCAGGCGGCGTCAGAAAGACTACAGACAGCAACGGATGCTGGGTCGCGGAAAAACATTGCACACTTGACGCAGAAGCCGAGGCAAGACAAGCTGGCTGTCTCGGGCCGCTTGATTCGGCCGCCAACCTGTACACCTCTTTCTCATTATCCTCCAATTTTACACTTGCCTGCTTGTGGGGATTTGCTTTTTTGACACACTCTTTCTTGTATCCCATGCTCTTTCGTCATCTCTCCTCCCCGAGTGGCACTCATTTAAAGCCGTCAACTTGTTCCTTTGCTGTATCACCTTATTTTCTTCTCACCTGACCCCTCGCTCAGTCTACCCTCTCTGTGGGCGACTCTGACCTGAGCATCAATCAGGCGAGGTTGGTGAAAGCGGAAGGGAAAAGAAGAAATGTGCCTCTCCAACTTGAGCACCCCCTGACGGCCGACGTGCTGAAGGAGAGTGGAGACGAGACGGGGGTCTAGGCGGTCGTTGTCACGGCCTCTAATGCGTAAACCGACTCGCGATGTTGTATGCATTTGAGTAAAAAGCTTGAGTAAAAGCCTAGTCAGCAGAGGTCACTTAGGAGTATGTCAAGAGCCAATAGTTAACTGTATCCCACAATACTTCAAGATGCTATTGCACTAAACTGAGGCGAAGCAAAGTTGGGTTTCGGGGAATCTCGTTGTTTTTCAATTCCGCCTGATTTCCCTTCACTACCGGTCGGTGTTGGCGTGATTAGGACATTCTTGATGATCTTGTTGCCTTCGATTCCGGTGTAAACCTGTTGACCTTTTTTCCGGCATTTGACGGATATCATCAAGGGTGTGATAACATTCCTACTACTATGGTTAACTATGTGAAGAGTGTCCACCCTATTTCGTATATTCTGATAAAAGACTGGTAGTTGAATGCGACTACCCAACCTTTATCACCTTTAACGAAATAGGGTGAACGCATGTTAAATATCTAATTTACTGGTTGTCTCGACAACCTGTTTGCAGGCGAAAACTAACCAATTCAAGCACACATACCTCCAGATTGGCATATGACCTGAACTAACCAAATCACTTTGTACCTTATCAAAAGGCATATCTTTAGGATATATGTATATACAGCATTTATAGATAAGCATGTGAGTTTTCTTTACTTGTTAGCATGTGGATGGTTGTAAAAACGATGCCCTGCTCTGATGATGTGGTCATATGACAGACGAAGGATTGATACATATTCAACGGAGTCGAAGGCGATAGTACTCTGTAGTCGTCTGGTTGAATCGAATCTCCAATCTCTTGATCCCTCGTTTCCCCTTGAAATGAAGGTAAATGGTTCACTTAACATTTGTTTCCCCAAAGTTTTTTTTATCTCGACTGGTCTAGACTTTGCGTTTGCGTTTGCGTTTGCGTTTGAGTTTGCCCCATCGTCTCATCAGCCTCCCAACATAATCCGAAACTTGGTTGTGATGACACAGCAGCCCTTCGCTAAACAGCCACGGGTGCCAGTAGATCACGAGGCAGATGAGACTTTGATGTCGGGCAAATCACATTTAAGAGGGGGATTTTCGAAGAGGTAAACATGTGTGCCCATTT